GTGGGCCTTTTTGCTTTTGTTGTTTGTTTGTTTGTTTGTTTCCCTTTCAACAATCTAGCCACTCTTTCATAGGCTGCTGCAGTTTTCTGGGGCTCCACTCCGGACCCTAGTCACCTTGGTTTTTCCCCTACCTGGAGGTATCACCAGTGAAGGCTGCAAAAAAGCAAAGATGGCAGCCTGCCCCTTCCCCTGGAAGCTCCTCCATCCCAGAGGATAGTGACCTGTTGTCAGCCCGAATGTACCTGTAGGAAGTGGCTGGAGATCCCGGTCTCTCAGTCAGGAGAAATGGCATCAGGGATCTGCTTAAAGTAGCAGTTTGGCTGCTTTTTGATACAGCAGATGTGCTGTGTTGGGGATCCCTTCAGCCCCCAGTTGGTTTGGGTTCTGTAATACCCTCAGGCTGGACCAGCTGAGATGTCAAACAGCCAAGGTGTTGGCCTGCCCCACCCCCCAGACGCTTCATCCCAGGGAGAAATTAGAACTCCGTCAGCCATAGAACATGGGCAGGAATGACCGAGGCCCCTGCTGGGAGGACCAATGCCTTAGGAGAAGTGGATCAGGGTCCTGCTTGAAGAAGCCATGCCTCAACGGAACAGCCATGTTGTGCTGGGAAGCTGCCTCTGCCCCTGTAGACTTGGACTGTCCAAAGCCTGCAGGCTAGAATGACTGAGTCATCCAAGTAACCAAGGTAGTGGCCCACCCTTCCTCCTCAGGCACTCCATCCCTGGGAGAGATCAGGGTCCTGCTTAAAGAAGCATTCCAGCCAGGTTCTGGCAAAGGAGCTATGCTGGGGAGACCCCTCCTCATCTGGACTGTCTGTTCTCTCCAAAGCCCACAGTTTGGAATGGCCAAGTAGACCAAACAGCAAAGATGGCACCCGCCCTTCCCCCTAGGGGTCCAATCTTGTATCAGGCAGGCTCCACCCTGTTGCTGGTGGCTTGCTGGAATTCCAAGCCAGCAGGTTTTCTCTTGTGAGGTTCCGTGAAAGTGGGGCCCACAGACTGATGCTGCTCAGCCCCCTAGATTCAGCCCCCTTCCTTGGGGTATGCACAGACCTCCTGATTTGCCTCAGTTGCATACACCTTTATTAGAGATCCTGAGGCCAGAATATGCAAAGCTCCTGGGTCTCTGTGTCTGCCTGAGCAGGTGCTCTGCCAAGACTCCATACAGCTCTGTGTGTTGAACCTAAGGCTTTGATGGTGTGGGCTTGCAAAAGGATCCCCTAATCTGTGGGTTGCAAAGATCTGTGGGAAAAGCATGGTTTCCCAGGGTTGCACATTCACTCACCACTTCCCTTGGCTGGAGGTGGGGGCTCCCTTGACTCTGTATCGCTCCTAGGTGGGCTGTCACCCCGCCCTACTTTTCTTTATTCTCCATGGGTTGAGTTGTTTCCCTGATCAGTCCCAATGCGAGCACCTGGATATTTCAGTTAAAGGTGCTGTATTCACTCATCCCTTTCATTCCTCTCTGTGAATGCCACAGACTGCGGCTGCCTCTCATCAGCCATCTTGGCCCCTTTATTGTACTTTTCAACTCCAGACTTTCTATTTGTTTTCTTAAAAATAATTTTAATCTCTTTATCTGGTGAGACATTCTTATCATACTTTCCTTTAGTTTAGACATAGTTTTCTTTAGTTCTTTGAACATATTTAAAATAGCTGACATTGTCTAGTAGTACAGGATCTGGCTTTCCAGGGATAGTTTTTATTGGCTGCTTTTTCCCCCTGAGCATAGGCCATATATTCTTGTTTCTTTGCATGTTTCATAATTTTTACAGACATTTCTAAAAACTAGACTTTTAAAAATATAATATGGCAACTTTGGAAATCAGATTCCCATCCCCAGGATTTGTTGTTGCTGGTTTGTTTCTGAACTAATTCTGTAAAATTTGCATTCTTTTTCATATGCAGTTATTGATGTCTCTGCTCAGTTATCTTAGTGGTCAGGTAATGATTACACAGAAATTTATCAAATGTCTAGGACCAATAGGTGTCACAGTGTTTGGTCAGGGGGTCTGTGTGAATGTTTGAGAAACATCTTCAAAATTCAGCCAGACAGTTTCCAACTCCACCGTAGCCTTCACTTCCTGCTTGGGCAGAACCTCAATATCAATCAGAGGTGAGAGTGTAGGCCTTCTTACTTCTTTCCTGAGCATGAGCATAGGCCTGGGCATGCAGGTAATCTTCTAGATTACCAGGAATATATCAAAGCTTTCCAAAGCTCCCTATGGACATTTCACTTCCCTGATTTTCTTTTTAAGATTTTTGATAATCTTGTTGTTTGGCCCATCTGCTATCTACCACTTTGGGCAGCTGTATTGTTTTCAACCAATGCTTCTAGGAAACGACTCTCCACGGTAGGTAGGTACTTTCCAAGTCGGTTCAAATAAAGACATCCTTGCAAGTGGAGCCTCCCAGGAACCACCAGACAGATAAAATAATGACAGTTCTCTAGGAATGGGGCTTTGAAGCAGATCTAATCCCACTTAACCCCTCCAGTGTCTTCTGGATGCTGATTTTCACTGTACTTGGGGGCTGTTGGTTTTCGAGGCTATTGTTGAGTTGTGGAGGGGAAAATGGGGATAGAGGAAGTTAAAATGTCACAAATATTGCTACCCTTACTGAGACTGAGCCATTTTTCCTTGAATAAACTTTCCTTGTATTGCTGCAAGCCTTTGCTTAATTTCCAATGTTCTGAAAAAGTTGACTCTGACAATTTTTGTCAGTGTTCTCACTGCTTGTATAGAGATGATTTTCCACAATCCTCACTTATCCTTTTCACTGGTATCCCTCCACAGATTCTTTCAATGGCATTTATCTTTTCCTTGACATCAACTCTTATTTTTCCAAACATTGAAAAATCGAAAGCCCCAAATAGTTTATATGTGCTGTGTTTTCAAGAAGTGAGTTTTCTGAGGTAAATGTTTATTCTTATAAAAACCACCAGTAAAACAAGGCCATTAATGGATGTACAAACAGACAAGCCACAGAAAAAGATAAATTGTTTGTGACTGTCTTCAACTTTCATCATTTGTTAATGTCTTTTTTCTTGTGTGTCTTAGTGCAGACCTGGTGAACCTGAAAATTCCTGGTTAGATTTTGACTGTGTGGGTTAGCTCCTCATCTGCCTGGGCCTGAGCAATCCTGGAAGAGAAAGAGACTGAGGTAGAGCTGGTCTTCAGCAGCCCCTTCGCTGTTGGCCGTCAGTGCTGTAATAGTCAGCTTGAGCTGCCATCACAGATTGCCACAGACAGGGTGGCTTAAACGACAGAAATTTATTTTCTCACAGTTCTGGAATTCTGAGATCAACTTGCTGGCAGGCTTGGTTTCTCCTGAGGCTCCCCTCTTTTGTTGTTGGTGGCTTCTTTCTTCCTGTTTCCTCACAAAACCTTTCTTCTGTGTGTGCATGCTCCTGGTGTCTCTTCCTCTTCTTATAAGGACAACAGTTCTATTGGATTATAGCCCCACCCTTATGAACTCATGTAAGTTTTTTTTTTTTTTTTTTTGAGACAGAATCTCGCTCTGTTGCCAGGCTGGAGTGAAGTGGCACGTTCTCGGCTCACTGCAACCTTCTCCTCCCTGGTTCAAGTGATTCTCCTACCTCAACCTCCCTAGTAGCTGGGACTACAGGCGCACACCACCACGCCCAGCTAATTTTTGTATTTTTAGTAGAGACAGGGTTTCACGATGTTGGCCTCAATCTTTTGACCTCGTGATCCACCCACCTCAGTCCCCGAAAGTGCTGGGATTACAGGTGTGAGCTACCACGCCCGGCCTGAACTCATGTAATGTTAATTACCTCCTTAAAGGCCCGATTTCCAAATACAGTCACTTTGGGGGTTAGAGCTTCGACATATGAATTTGTGGGGAGGGACACAATTTAATTCATAAGAAATGTCTAATACATAGCGAGTAAGTTCTCCATAAACACTCATTGATCATATGCATCCTCTTTGGCTCCTTGACCTTTACATTTCTGCACCATCCTTTTTTCTTTTTTTTCTTTTTTCTTTTTTTTTTTGAGATAGAGGCTTGCTCTGTCACCCAGGCTGGCATGCAATGGCGTGATATCCACTCACTGCATCCTCTGCCTCCTGGGTTCAAGCGATTCTCCTGCTTCAGCCTCTTGAGTAGCTGGAATTACAGGTGCATGCCACCATGCCCAGCTAATTTTTGTATTTTTTTGTAGTAGATGGGGTTTCACCATGTTGATCACGCTGGTCTCGAACTCCCGACCTCAGGTGATCCACCCACCTCAGCCTCCCAAAGTGCTGGGATTACAGGCGTGAGCCATCACACCCAGCCCATTTCTGCACCATCCTTATCCCGCTACAAGCACCTCCCAAACTAGGCACTATGGCTTCTGGTCTGCTGTGAGAGCAGCATTATGTAGAGTTGCCAGACTAGGAATCCTGACACGAGAGTTCAAATTCCCCCTCTGGTGTCAAAGAGCTGTATTGCCTTGGGCAAATCAGTTAATCCACCAATTTTCTCTAGTTTTTGCATTTTTGAGTGGTTTGGCCCAATTATCTCACTGCTCTCTATTCCCTAGGCTCTTGATTTGTCACCAACCCCTACTACTAAAACATCCTTGCTTCATCCTCTGTGTAGCATATCTAGGGGTCAACTAGCAAAATATATCCTGATAATGCACTGACTAAATAGCTCTCCAGAGTAGTCTTCGTCTCTGCCCAGACGTATTTCTGGAAATACTGTCCCTGTTGCTGCTGCTCAGGTAAGAGTTGCATTAGCATTGCTGGGTAGTTAAGCTCAGGAAGGGAACATGCAGTGAGAGAAAGGGCTGGTACGGGAGGTAAGTAGGGGTAGAGTAGAAGCTGGGAACTCATTCAAGTATATTTGCTCTATCAACTTTTGCTAGGAATCTACTTTTTCCAAGCATTGTGCAAAGTGATGAACCACAGCTCACATCAGGGGCATCTCTGACCATAGGATTTGTACTTGGCATGAACTATAGTTGTAGAAAATGAAAAACGACCTGAGTTCAAGTTTCGAATTTGTTGTTTATTTCTCCGGGACAACAGGCAAGCCACTTATCTCTTCAAAGTTTTGGTTATTCCATTTTAAAAAGAAGGGATGGATCAAGTGTTTTTATGGTCAATTCTACCACTTTGGCTCTCACCTCCTAGAATTCTGTTTCATTGGGAGTTGGGTGTGAATCCCGCCCAAAGAAAAATCTGTATTTTTGAGCTTGTTTTCTGCATAAGGCTGCTCTGCAAAGAAGATGGAAGGAGAGAAGTGTACAAGTGGCAAACGTTTGGAGGTGGTGGAATTAACCCCACAGTTCACTCAGAAAACTTGGAAAGGAACCCTTAAGGGAACCAAGCTCATTTTAGTAGTGTAGACCAAGAAGGTGTCCACTGTGGGTTATTAACCCTAAGGAGATTAGCCAGGTGTTAATAGTAAATGTAGACTTAAGGGACAAAACTATCATTTGCCCAGTGAAATAGACGCTTTAGTCACATGTTTATGTGTTTTGGTGCAAGGACCATGTTTTGTTAACTTCTCTGTTCCTCATACCTAGCAACACAGAGTAGAAACTAAATGGACATGTAGAAACTCAGTGGACATAATAGTCCTTGTTCTCCAAATGAAATTTTCTTCATGTCACCTGCTTAAAAAGAGAGACAAAACCAAAATCAAATTTCAATACTGACAGTGTTCCCTAAATTGTTGAAGAACTAGATTTCATTATTTTCAACAAATTCAATAGAAGTTGTCCATACCTTTGGAATTAGCAATTTAAGCCTTTGCCTCTCCAGGGCCCAGTGGTACCTCTATGTTCAGGCTAACTGGGTCTCAGTGTCAGCCTTCAAGGGCAGCTTGGATGATACAGGAAAGGTGGTAAATCACAGTGGGTAAGGCTTGGGCTTCAGGCCAGGGCTAGATTTGAGTTCTGACTCTGCCACTCACAACCTTGTAACTTTGGCAAGGTGCTAACCTCTCTAAGTCCAGTTTCCAAGTCTATGAAATGAGGATGATACTATTACCTACCTTATAGAGTCATTGTGAAGAATAATTTTCAAAATGCATTAAACTATACAGTGACTGGCATAAAATTTAAAGGCACAGAAAACGTGAGCTTTTTGAAGAACTGACAGTTTGAAGAACTCATAGTCATGGGGAGGAAGGAGAGCTTTCTATTTCTTTTATTTTTTTCGGGATCCATATAGCATAGCTATATTATTATTATTGTGATTATTGTACTCTAAACCTATATATTAACTTTATCAGGAGACTAGGACACATCTGAACCATAGCATGGGTACTTGCTCAACCTGAGATGTCATTAACTGGTTTTCCAGATGTCCTTTCAGAAAATTCCCATAAACCACTGTCCTGGGCTCACAAAGTTTAGAAGAAATCAAGTTAAAAAAAAATGCAGGCCAAGAGATGCAGCAAAAATAAAACAAAATTGAAAGTCATCTCATACATTTGTGTTTATAAATAGATATTCTCTATGAAATAATACTTAAAATCTTTGAGGATATACATGTAACTGCTTCAAAGCCACGACAAGAAATAAAACATACACAAATCCTCAATACTGATATAAATATTTTTAAAGTCTTTCCAAACTGATGAATCTAAACACTACACTTCCTCCTATTTTTCCCACCCTCCCTCCTTCAAATGAACTCTCTTGTTTTCTTTAGGTCTCAAAGGCACCTGAATTCATATACTGGTCATCAGAGACTAAAGTTTCAAGAGCTCTTCATCCCAAGTACTTAGAAATATTTGAAATAATTGCACCCAGATAGACTGTCTGGAAGTTAGCTTTCCCTCGAGTAATTGGAAACAGTGAGTAGTTGGTATTTTAGAGGTTTTCGAAAGAGACCTTAATCAGGGCAATTGTTGTATTCTTAGAGAAGGAAAACATGAGCTGTGTGGTAGATAAATATTTTGGCCACAGTTATATCTAAAATAGGAAGATGACACTCCCAGGACTTGATGAAGCTTAATTGGATCAAATACGCAGCCCATGATCTCACTTTTTTCTTGAGGATTTGAGGTTGAGAAGTGGCTGGATATCCATATTTGTTGAGATACTAAAGATTGAAGTCACAATGATGAGAATGAATTAGGCATCTGGGGATAATGAGGCATCCCAGCTGCTCTGAGATATTTACAGGGATTTTTGAGAGACCAGAGAGCTTCTCTGAAGTTTCTATACCTGTTCAACTTCCTGTGTGTATTTCTTGAAGATCATTTATGCTCCAGATGCAAGACTCTCTTATTTTTCTGGAACTCTCGATCTCACCCTCCTTGTAACAGTTAGTGCTCCTGCAAGCATTACTCTAAAGTTTTCCTGAGGCTGGGGGATAAAAGCAAAACAGAATAAAGTTAGAGGCCTGAACAAATGAAATGGTCCTTCTATTTTCTTTCTCTATGTCAGCATAAAAATTCCCTGTGTGTCTCTTTCAAATATGTGACTTTTTAAAAAAGCTTCCAAATCCAGACAATAAATTTTGGTTCTCCGTACTTGGACCAAATGCCTAATAGAATGGGTAACTTGAGGGCATAATCACCACAGTGGAATACATTATAACAATTAGAATTAACAACCTGCTACGAATGCAACAATACCAGTGACTCTCATAAGCAGAATGTTGAGTGAAAGAAGCCAGACACAAAGGGTGCACACTATGTGATTTATTTTATGTGAAATATAGAAACAGGAAAACTAATTGGGATAGGGATTGTCCTTTGTGGGAGGAGGTGTCAGTGTGTCTTCTGGGGTGTTTGTGACATTGTTTTTTGTGCTGAGTGCTGGTTACACAGCTGTGTTGTTTGCAAAAATTCCTTAGATTGTACACTCATCATATATAACCTTTCTGTATGTTTCACTTCATTAAAAAACTTTTTAAAAAATGATTTACGAAAGCAAGTGATCCTCAAGCCATTGGCCAAAACCTTTTCTGACTTCAGTCTGATATCCCTCACTTATCTTTTCGCCCTTTCTGCATTTTATAATTTACCTTGGAAGAAAATCCTTTAAGACTTTTCAAAATTTTCCATGATGGCATCCCTAGTAAACATAATCAAGCATTTATGATTTTGGGCGGCCTAATGATTTCCAGATTTCTCTATGAGGGATTTTGTACAGTGTTGTCTAACATGTTGTTATGAACTTCTCAGGTTGTTCTTGTTGGGGTCATATGAGCTGTCAACTAAACTATTCCTTTTGTTTGCAAAGATTTCAGGAAACTACATGTTCTTTTATGGCAAGATCACAGTGGTGATTACGAGCTGGCATGGGTTTGTGTATTTTATTGAGTGATTTCTCACAGTCACCTGATGATAGAGGGCAACTGGAATAACTCAGATGCAAGGATGATGGAACACAGCCTACAAAAAGACATTTTTTTTTTCTGAGCGTTACTAATGTTTTCGATTTATTCATTAATAAAAAGTGCACAGTATAAACCTTTTATCCCAATCCAAGTACTCAGTAAAAGATTAACAATAAACCCTGGATGGCACAGACATGATTTGTTTGGCATGATTTAAACATGAAAACAACAATTAACATTTAATATACCACATGACTACTTTTGCTTTTAACAAAGTAATCATCATACATGGTAACAAATACGTATGATTTTTCATTTAGAAATATTATAAGAAAACCACACTTAATATTGCAACGGCAAAAATTTAACCCATTACCTATAAACTCTCTTCAGTTTTCCTCCTTCAAGTTGCTGTTTTGTGTCTTAAACTGAGCTGGTCATACTTGAGCACATATTTATTTAGAGTGATAGACTCATTTAGAGTGACAGACTTCCAAGGTTCCCTTGAAAAGTGAAGATATTGTTAATTATATAAACACTATCACATCACATACCACAAAGACACTAAAAGTACCCATAAAATAGCTATATCCAGAATTATTTTGGAAAGTCGAAAGCTGTAAAATATGACTTACTGACTATGCGATAGTGCTTGGATAGATAACAAGAACTTTTAAGTTGAGAAATGCTAGCAGTTTTCAAAGTGTTCTATTTGTTCTTTATTTTTATATTGATTGGTTGATATTAGAGTTTTCCCAGATATTATTAATAAGCAAGAAAGGAAAGCAGTCAAATTAATTAATTCACCTTTATATTTAACAGAAGAACCAAAATTTGGTTTTAAAAAAGGTGTTTTATGCCAGTAAAGATGTGGAAATCTGCAGGTACCTTAAGCTCATCAGAAGGAATATCTTAAGATAATTTTTAAATGCTTGGGTCCTGAAAATAAATGTCAAATGTAGTGAGATCATAGCTCACTGCAGCCTTGAACTCTTGGGCTCAAGCAATCCTCCTGCCTCAGCCTCCTGAGCAACTAAGACTACAGGCATGTGCCACTACACTGGGATCATTACTTTTTAATTTTATTTTATTTTATAGAGATGGGGTCTCACTGTCTTGCTAAGCTGGTCTCGAACTCCTGGCCTCAAGTGATCCTCCTGCATAAGCCTCCCAAAGTGCTGGGATAACAGGCTTGAGTCACTGTGCCAGGCCCTGACTATTATTTTTTAAACACTGGGTTTAAAAGTTGTCACTGATTATTTAAAATAATGTAACAAAGAGGCTCAGCGCAGTGACTCATGCCTGTAATCCCAGCACCTTGGGAGACCGAGGTGGATGGATCACCTGAGGGGTCAGGAGTTCGCGACTAGCCTGGCCAACCTGGTGAACCCTGTCTCTACTGAAAATACAAAAACTAGCTGGGTGTGGTGGCTGGCACCTGTAATCCCAGTGATCCTCAGGTGGCTGAGGTAGGATAATTGCTTGAACCTGGAAGGCAGAGGTTGCAGTGAGCCGAGATCACACCACTGCACTCCAGCCTGGGTGACAGAGCGAGATTTCCATCACCAAAAAAAAAAAAAAAAAAAAAAAAAAAAGTGACAAAGAATAATAAAATAGGTAGGAACTATTCCTAAATGGAAGGCCCTTCAGTTTCAAATGAGTTGACTTTTCAAGGCATCTAGTTAATTAGTTTTCCCCAGCAAAGAATCACTTTCCTCTCTCAAGCAAGCTTGAACCTGACACCACTGCTTTCATCCCATGCAGGATGGTCACTGCAGTTTCTGGAACTCTCAGTCCCCCATCAGTGATGGCCTATTACAAAGATCTTTCTCTTCTCCTAGGAAACACAAAGATCCTCCTTCCTGGTTTGGGCTGAGGTTCTTGAGAGCATAACTGTTACAAGGAAGTGGAGACTTAAAGTGCCCAAATGTGATTTTTCTGCCAGAACAAACGATCGTAGTCAAACCTCCCTTTTTTCAGGAACAGATGAAATAATCTGAGGAAGGTGCATGGCCTGCATGAGTGGGAAGAGTGGTGAGGTGGAGGGGCCTCAAGCCCGTGTCTCAGCCAGTCCACAGCTCTCCAGCACAGCAGAGTGATGGAGACAGGGAGAAGTTCTCGTATAGTCAGACCCTTGGCTTTGACAAGGCTACAGTCCCTCTCCCTGGATCCTGACCCAGAGATCTTCTTAGTACCCTGAATTTCCTTGTATTTAAAGCAGACATAAAGAGTTCCACCCTGTAGGACCAGGACTTTTGGGTCAAAAGCTAAACACCCTGCTAAGCCTATTAATTTCTGTGTGATTTCACATACCCAGCACCTTGCTTAGATCTGGTCCTTCACAAACACCTGAAATTCACTGATTATTGAAAGTACTTCACAGTTCATCTATGTCTGTCACCTTGAGTATGAAACAGATTTCACGCAAAATATTAATAAAAGAGTTTCTCAGTAAGTCTGCCTCTCCAATAGAGATTGCCAAACACTGGGGCTGTCTCGGTCAGCCAGAGCCAAGGGGTGACCCTACACTAAACACCATACCTCAGGCACTTCTGCTGAAGGGTCCCCCTTTCAGCATCTCTGCTACATGGATCCTCTTTTCCGCCCTCCCTCCCTCCCCAGGGCCCTTCTCCAGCCATAAGAAATGACCTGGGATGTGCTGTTGACCTAGGGTGATATATAGGCCATCCAGTAACTTATGACATGACCTAGTTCAAAATGATAAACTTGTCTAGGAATGCAACTAAAAATATCAAGAGGATAAAATTACTAGGAACCAACTCAAAAGAGGGGACATTCAGAAGCAGATAAAGCTGGGACCATGCCAGGTCCATGTTCCTGGCATCAAAAGTTACAGGGAAGTGAAACCCTAAGCAAGCATCAGCGAAGAGGCACAAATAAGACTGAGCAGAGGGAAAGAACACGGCAAAAGGTAGAAGGGCAGAAAAAGAATAGCTGAGAACGTTTTCTGAATTTTAGTTTCTTTTCCTGGGTTTCTGTGCAGTCCTCATAATAAACCTCCATACTTTTTGAGTCACTGTGATCTGTGTGTTGCACCCAAAAGAGCAAAACCAGAACAGTTAGACGCATGCGGTCTTCCCTTGCTTCCACAGAGGGATTCAAGCCCGTGGAGGGAGAATCTCAGACGACTGGAGTTGTGGATGGTCCATGCTAATGGGGTTCCCTAACAGATCAATAATACTACAAACATAGCAGGCCTCAGGTCTCTAAACTACCGGACTGAAGTAATGACTCACTCTCCTCATTTCCGACTCTGGCCCACAGTTTGTAGAAGAGGGCTTTCCTTTCTTGCTGTGGGCTGTCGAGGTCATTGACACCTGGCAGCGATCTTATTTCTCCCTGACGCTGTTTTTCTCCCTGGCATTTGTAAGAATGGAGTAGAGGGGAATTCCTCAAGAAGGCATTTTAGATTTCTGGATAGTAGGAGAAGGAAACTAGAAAAGGCTCAACACTCCTACAAATTATTCTTTGATTTTTGCATGGCTAGCCATTGAGCATTTAACAACAACAACAACAACAACAACAACAACAACAAAGGGCTTACACAGCAGCTGTGACTTCAGGAGAGTTCACCTCACGCGGTACTGACCGATAGACTGGCTACCAGGGCTGAGTGTAAATTCTGTTCCTGTATGGGAGGAGGCAGAGGTGCCCGATCCAGGCTTGCTGGAGGGCAGCACTGTTGTGGCCAGAACCACCACTGGAACGTCTCCCAGTGCTCTTTCCATCTATCTTCAAAGCAGGATTTCACTGCACAATTGAATGCTTTTCACTCTGTTGCCCAGGCTGGAATGCAGTGATGCTATCTTGGTTCACTGCAATCTCTGGCTCCCAGGCTCAAACAATTTTCCTGTCTCAGCCTTCCGAGTAGCTGGGACTTCAGGCATGTGCCACCAAGCCTGGCTAAGTTTTGAATTTTTTGTAGAGGTGGGTTTCGCCATGTTGACCAGGCTGGTCTTGAACCCCTGGGCTCAAGCAATTCGCCTGCCTTGGTCTCCCCAAGTGCTGGGATTATAGGCGTGAACCACCCGCACCCGGTCTGAACAATTTATGGTTGTTGTTTTTTAATGAGTTCACGGAAAGTTGCTTTCTTCTGTTTGTCAATCTTAAAAAGAGTTCTCCTCTTACTGGAACCCTGTGCTGTGAGATGAATTTGAAAGGAGCAGACTCATGTGACTAGCTCTGCTTCTTTCATTGTTTTCCACCTTGAAAAGCATGTGAAGCTGCTTAGTGAGGAAATAATATTTTCTTGAAATGTCATAGCTCATGCCTTTCCATCTTTTAATGGAAAATCTGACCATCAGGGCCTCACTGCTCAGTGCTTTCCACCTGCAAAAGCAATTGGAATCTAGGTTGTAGGCTGAAGAAATAAGCAGTATGTCCCCTTCGGAGAGTGCGGGAGCCCATCCATCTTTGGGAGGCCAGAGCAGCCAGCTCACTGGGAACAGTCCAGAAATTCCGACCTCCCAGGGCACTGCAATGCCATTGTAATTTAGGGTGCTCTGACTCACCTCTTTCACCTTCAGTTCTGAGAGGCTCGGGAGCCTAGTTCCCATTATGGTGTCAGCACAATGGCTCGGGCTTAGAAAGACTTAAAAGGAGAAAAGAGGTCACAGCTCTCCCTGCCAAGCATAAAACAGAGGCCCCATTTGTGCAGCCCCTCTTTGGTCATCCTGCCTCTGTTCTGAATAATCAGCTTCATGAAAAGAGTGGGCAGGAGCCCCAGATTGTAGCTCCCATCCACCCCGCCCCCAGCCCCACGTCTCATAGCTCTTCTTTCATCTCGGCAAAAATTACCATCCGAGAAAGGTCTCCAATTTACCTCCTTTAGAATAAAATCCCTTTCAGGAAAAATGACCCAAATACTCTTCAGAAACAAGAGCTCTGATTGGCTTGGTAGCATTTCCTCCCTGATGGGAAGGGGCAGTCCTGGGCCTGTCCATCCCTCAGATGAATGAATACTGTCGCTAAGCAACCATCTCTAACCCCAGTCTAGAGCTAGCAAGAAGAGAAAGAATGAGGCCACTTATTTCCCAGTCTCCGCTCATTACTGGCTCATGGCTTTGTCTGGAAAGACTATGAGAACAGAAAAGTGTCCTCAGGCTCACCCTGACTGTAATGATATATTTCAAGAAAGAGTGGCAGAGAGCAACAGTGACCTTAAAGCAGGTTGAAGTCATTTCCTACAGTTCTAGTGAGTTGCCCAAGGCAGCAAATTGGTAGCAGGGACCCAGTATATACAGTGGAGTTGTATATATGCTCTTTCATTTGAGTCTCACAAGCACCCTGGGAAGTGTCAGCTGTTTTACGTTTGAGAGACTGAAGTTTGAAGACAGCTGAAGTGACTGGGCCAAGATCACACAGAAAATGAGCAGCTGAGTCAGGCCTGGGTTCTGGGTCTGTTTAATTTAAAGCACTTGCCCTTTCCTCCACACGCACTGCAGCCTCCAGACTTCTGGGAAGGAAGTCAGGAAGCCAGACAGGCAGGTGCTGGTGTTTATTAACAACTAAATATTTGCCAATTTAAAACTCCTATTGAGTTGCTCACCAGCTGATCATGATTGGATTTCTTTCTGGCCACATCAGTTGACTAAATGTTTATCCACACCGTTATGCTCATCGAGTATTTCGGGAACA